CCCCCCCCCCCCCCCCCGTGCACGAATTTCGTGCACCAGGCCTCTAGTAAATAAATAAAAGACTAATTCAATGCTATATCATGTTAACTTATTGGACAGAGCTAATTAAACTTTTACTGTTCTCTTCTATGCCAACAGTTTTTATTGAAATTGCTTGTTAGCAGAGGTTAGAATTAAAGACAATAATTTTGACAGTAAATTCTCTGTGGAAAGTTAACACAGCATAACCTTGGCCATTGCTATAAATTGTACTACCACGTGTCTTCTTAGATACATCATTTGTACATCTAACTATAGATTTATTTATTTATGTATTTCTTTTCCTTGCTGCATGCTATCCTGAAGTTGAGACTTGGTGCCCTTTAAGGTGGGCTAGCCAATGATTTTTCCTTGCTTGACCAGACCCTGTAAAATGGGGTCTAGGAACCTTGGAAGAAATCAACATGGAGAAGCTAGAGAAAAGAGGCAGAACTACAGTCTGTGTCTACTTTTAGGCATCAAATTCAAAGAGCTTATATGTGCAAAGTGGTGTTAAAACCAATGAAAAATGAAATATATATATATATATATATATATATATATATATATATATATATATATATCCTAATATATAAAAACCCTGGTTCTGTCACAACCGAGCTCGACCAACAGGAAGCCAGTCCTGCAGTCAGTGCTGGGTTGCCGTGGCGACCCAGCACTGACTGCTGCAGCTGCAGGTGCCGTGACCCAGCACTGACTGCTGAGGTGGCTGCGAATCAGGCCCAGAGAGAGGCTTGATGAGAGAAGCAGGGTCTGATCCGTAGCCTGTGTGGCAGCTATTGATCAGCACTTGCCTCTCTCTTTCTCTCCCTGCCAGGCCAGCAGCCGCACCTCCATTTCTCTCCAGGCCTCCACCCGGACTGCTGATCAGCCCTACCTTTCTGATCAGGCCATGTTGATAGGCCCAGAGACACTGACTGGCATAGAAACCGATCAATCAGAAGCAAATCGGGTGAAGTGTGAGGAGCCAATGGCTGCCTAGGAGGTGGAGCTTTTGATGCTGACTGGCATAGAAACCAACCAATCAGAACCAAATCTGGGTGAACTGTGAGGAGCCAATGGCTGCCTAGGAGGAGGAGCTTTTGATGCT